GTTGGGACACCTGTAGGAATTAGTAGCACCAGCTTTCAAGGCTGATTCAGCTTTAAATTGTTAACCCACGTTGTGTTCCCTGAAAATGGCCTTCTTGTATAATTCTGAAATGTACATTATTTTTCGGTTTTGGGTAACCAAACCTTTTTTTTTTAACCTCTGGCTGTTCAGTACTTACCTATGTACCATTTCAAGCTATTCATTGGGCTTACACAACTTGAATTGCAATAAATGACTGGAAAAATTGGGGTGTTCTAAAACTTTTGACCGGTAGTGTATATATTTTAACCCCCCCCCCAATAATTTGATAAAAAACAAACATAAAGTGCACTTTTTCACGCATCGGCTCATGTGCTAATGCTAATCGTAATAAGTCATAACAACTGCCTTCAGGAGGTAAAATTCAATTTTTGAAAATGTGTTTTCATGTTGTGTTGTGTTTGATACCTCACCCATCATTCTGAGCATTAATCAGACCCAGGACTACAATTTCTCCCACAATTTGATCAGTGGAATTTGCTCAGTAAGTCAAGGTTGGAGTTATTTTTCACAGCTCCAGTCTGAACCCTCCGACCTTCCACTTATAAGACAGCTCCCTCTACCCGCTGATGTACAGGTCTCCAGTCCATTACTGGGCTGCATATAGAGACAAACGACCGTTCATGCTCTCGTTCATTTCTGTGGTACATTCAGTTTCCAATTAATTTCATTCTGTATGTTTTTGCTCTGCGGGAGAAAATTCTAGTACCATCGGAACAGCCGTGCAGAGGGAGAAAATAATAAAAACTCCAGCCCATCTGTGGCCACTGGGAATCCAACTGGTGATTTTATCACCCTTCCACTGTCTAGCAAAACGCAGGAGCACACAGTCTACAGTTCATATCAGCCAAAAGAAAATGATCATATCCTTTGATGTATCTGTGTTCAAACTAAAATACTTCAAAACTGAAAGAATATTATTTTTTATAATTCTAAATCACACTTCCAAGAACACACACTGTAAGCGGCTGAGTGTGTGGAAGTGTTCTTTGTTTTGAAAGCGTGAGGCTGTCGTTGCCTGCTGTCTACACCATTAGACGGAGTGGGTCTGTGTTAGCTCAGCCCAGAAGAAGCCGCCGGTCACTGTGCGTCAAAATATAAGTCCATATTTAGTAACATTCTGTAGATTCTGAACATGTGTGGCTCCTCCACTGCAGCACACACACACATGCACATGTCCAAAAGTACTTTGTCCTTGTGCGATAATACATCACTTTCACGACCCGTGAGCTTCAAAAAGCCCTGGATCATTTTTCCATGTGGCGTTCAAGGTACTGTTTATGTTCGGGAATCCGCAGTTAAAGCTCACTGCAGTGCGTGCATCTGCGGTGCGGTCATACTTGTGTGTGTGTATATATATATATATATTTACATATATAAAATATATTTACATATGTAAAATACATTATATATATATATTTACATATATATTTATGTATATAAAATATATTTTTTTTATATATTTACATATGTATTTATATTTACATTTATATGTGCTGTTTCTGGTCTTCCAGCTACCTTAATGACTTGGACAGAATCTGCCAGGTGAACTATGTCCCCACTCAGCAGGATGTGCTGCGTACACGCGTGAAGACGACCGGGATTGTGGAAACTCACTTCACCTTTAAGGATCTTTACTTCAAGTTAGTACCCCGCTTGACTTTATTAGGCCCAAACATGGCCCAGGCCTGAGCTGTTTATTCTATTAAGCTTTATGAGCTGATATATTTTATTGGTCAGTCCTTTAAACCCCAGCCCGCTGGACCTTATTACGGTCCTTAAGCTGTGGAACTGTTGTGTACTGTACTGTGTTGTGACAAGACAAGCGTCTTGTCTTCATTCATTAGTCCTGTGGAATATGCCTGTTAGTAGTAAACGGTATTTAAGCTTCTCATTGCTAATATTTGCTGTTGAATTTCAAAAAAACATTCTGACAACCAGACAGATGATATTTGATCGTGATTACAAAAGTTGCACACTCAGGTATTTGTCAGTTTCCGTTAATGGTTTGGCTTCATTTTTCTGTTTGAGGCTAATCAACTTTTATGTGTCACATGTGCCGCTAAATGGCAACCGGCTGGTTATGATGCTGGTTGTCTGCTGCAGTGACAGTGATTACACTACGCTACTCTGCTAGGTGAAACATTAACTGTACAGTGGCCCCAAGTCTTGGTTATATGACTCAGGATTTACCGTTGTGTAATTGGCGTTTGAACACACAACAGTGTTTGCCAGACAAACAGCTGAGTTGAGATTCACTTCACCTCAGAAGACCTCCGATGGGGACGGTAGTTGCAGACACCAACTGAAGAGTTTACAGCTTAAGACCATAAACTACGACATGGTAAATGATCTGTTCTTAAATGTCACTTTTGTAGGCCTGGTGATCAGCCACCGCACTTTTCACTTCACTGTAATCACTCATCTCAACACATTCACTTCTACAGTCATAAAGTGTCTTTTAAGTGCTTTCTCTCTCCGGCAGTTTTCTGCTCCTGACGCAGCTGTCAGAGGCAGGTTGAGGAGAAGTGTCTTTTTTTTTTACCCAAGAGCACATTGGCATGAACCCCCAGATTGACTCTGCTTTGATTTACAATCTCATCCTCATATTCAATACTATACAAAAATGTGAATTGTTTTTTCCTTTCTTTTAATGGACTTGTGTTTGTGCATGTGTGTGTGGTCGTGTGCCGCCCACAGGATGTTTGATGTTGGTGGTCAGCGCTCCGAAAGGAAGAAATGGATCCATTGTTTCGAGGGAGTCACTGCCATCATTTTTTGTGTAGCTCTCAGCGACTATGACCTGGTGCTGGCTGAAGATGAAGAAATGGTAAGCAGTGGATTCCATCGTTTCCATTCCATCAGAGTCTTTGGGTTTGTCTCAACATTGATGTGGTCTTGTGTTTCATTGGCTTGTTTGGAGAGCTGTATTGGCTTATTTACTCCTTCCTGTCATTCCTCTGCCTCCTAAACCAACATGCATGGTTTGTTGTGTTGCAGCATTTGTTAGCAACAGCATGACTGCATAGGCATGGATCACCCCACCCACCCTGCTGTTGGCTAGTTCACATTACATCATCGTTGGGTTGGGAAAATGTCAGACTCTCCCCTAACACTGTCAGGAAGACAATTGTGTAAATATGGGGAAAAAACATCAATAAACATAAAATTTCTGTGCTGATAAAGAAATTACCCATGAAAAAACATCAATAAACATAAAAACTTTCTGTGCTGATAAAGAAATTACCCATCATGCCTTATTTCTACTGCACAAACTCTTGCACGGTTGTCATGAACTGGTGTTGCTTGAGTTGGTCAGGTAAGAGTTAAATTAGTTAAAAAAAAAACATCCGACAACCTCAGGGAGCTGGATAATCAAGTTTTTTCCATTACTTTTTTCCCCCAATGATGACACAGGCATTAGACAATGAGAGCATTCATTTAACTCAAACTGTGACGTAGTGTTTCAGGGACGTGGGTCAGCATTTTCACACAGGGATTGATCTGAACCTCATATGGAATCTTTGAAAAAAGGGAACGTTTTAACAAAAAATGATACATTTTTTTGTTTTTCAGTCTATTTGGAAATGTCAACATCTTTTGTAAATTCCTCAGGCTCTTTGTGACACATTTGATTTTTCTCCTCCCAGAACCGTATGCATGAGAGTATGAAGCTTTTTGACTCCATCTGCAACAACAAGTGGTTCACCCGCACCGCCATCATCCTCTTCCTCAACAAGAAGGACTTGTTTGAGGAGAAGATCAGGCGGAGTCCACTCACTATCTGCTACCCCGAGTACACCGGTGAGAAAACACACGTATTATTTGGTTCTGTGGCGTCGTCACGTGGCCTCGACTAACCTCAACTGCATTTCCTGTCTCTGAATCTTTGAACGTGGCAGGCCTCAAATATTTGCCTTACGATTAGCTGTATCAGCCATATTAGCTGGAAATACGCTACAGTATGTAAAGCAGAGTCTAATTCACTTTGCATTTAATTAAAAACAGTTGCAGTTTACATATGACAACTGAGCTAAGTGTTTCATCTTTACATCTTATTTTTTGTAAATCATTCTGCGACCACTACAGTAATATATCACTCTCCATGATACATACTCTAATTACAACTACATAACTATTCATTACAATAACTTTTTTTTACATTTTGTTGAATTAATTATGTTTAACTCATTAAGTGATTCCCAAAGTGGGGCTGTATGCCCTCTTAAGGGACTCAGAGGTACTGCAGGGAGGCATATTAAGAACAATAATTTAAATTAATATATAATTTTCTGTATTGTTCTCCAGTGGGAAAACTGCACTAATTGTTCAGCAGTAGTTTTGTATCAATAGCAGTGAACATTGAGGCATTTGTTACTTGGACTCAAACACAGGACTGGACCTGAACACTGCTGTTTATTGTAAAAAAAATATTATTTGTTTTCCTGTAGCCGTCTGTAGACAGCAGAGCTGTTGTTTTTTATTATTACATTGTCTTCAAGGTAAATTCGATTCATTGGAACAAACTGTCACTTTTACATTCCACATTTGTCAAAGGTGTTGATATGGATGTTCACCATGGTAGACCTATGGTAGACCTATGGGCAGTAACTATTACAAACATAATACTTATCATGTGATGTCTTACTGTCGTCTGTCTCCAATGCTCCTTGTTGTGTTGTGGCTCCTGCTGCAGGTGGAGTCTTGTACGAAGAGGCAGCCGCTTACATCCAGTGCCAATTTGAAGACCTAAACAAACGCAAAGACACAAAGGAAATCTACACACACTTTACCTGTGCCACAGACACCAAGAATGTGCAGTTTGTCTTTGACGCTGTGACCGACGTCATCATAAAGATCAACCTGAGAGAGATCGGGCTCTACTGACGGATCAGGCCAGACACCTCCCCTTTATCCTCAACATCGGTGAGAGAAATGACTCAGCTGTTTGAAAGCTGCTATTATAGTAAAAGCACCATGTCCCAGGGTTGTTTCAACGGTAATCATGAGAATGTAATAAAACACAGACCAATACGACAGAAAAAGTACATCAGTTGATCCATGACATCCATGTGATCCATGATTCCTGTGGAAAACATTACTCTGGTTTTTAGCTCGGCCCGTTGTCGTCACTCATGCTAACGCAAACAGTTGCAATATTGTTCATCTGAATTACCTTAATTACCAGCTTTATACATGCCAGTGTACGGAATCACTCTGATTAGCGATATGTGTAGAAACTCTATGATGTGACGTGCGAGAAAAAAAGTATTAACACTGTAGACCAGGGGTGCCAAACTCCTGGCTCAGGGGCCACTTCTGGCCCACAATCCACTTAAATCTGATCCACAGCTAGATGTTATTATTAAAAAAAATTATTTATAATGACCAAAGAAAAGCAGGTGTATGAAATAGGTCTTTGTTTCATCTTTTCTCATTTTTTCCTGATAATGTGTTAAAGGTAAAGAAATCAGAACAGTTTTCAGCACCTTACACACGTTTTTATTAATAGATTTTAATCTTTGCTCTCCTCCTCCCTGCAGGCGTTGTTGGACGTATCAGGACTTTTGGACTGGCATGTCTTGTTTAGAGAGGGCGCTACAGAGAAAGTAAAAGGAGTTCATTAAAATCAATGCTAAGTTTTGTTTAATTATTACGGTGTTTGGTGTTTGATAGGTTTGTCTTACATGTCATTTGCTTTTAGACTCAGATATTCTGGTAAATTCTCGTATATAGAGCTGATCACGGATCGTCCAACAAACACACATCATTAAAAACTCTTTGATAGTAGCCTACTAGTCTAGGTGCGCTTGAATCTAGCAGTAAGTGTTTTAGTAGCACTAGAACATTGAGAACATGGAACACCGATGTGGCCCCTCAGTGACCCGAGTAAAATGACGTTTGAAGGGTATCATTTTAATGATATTTATTTGATAAATATCTAAAAGAATCATTTCACTCCTTCATTTTTTTCTTCTTTTTCTCTAAGATGCTTCACTTGTGCTTTCTAACTAAATATTCTAGCTAATATTTGTCATATCATAGCTTTAGCATGTTTGACTGTTGCATCTATTGTAAAACAAACGAGTCTTGTTTGAGTAGTTTTTTATTGAACACATTTCACCATTACTTCCATGCTTAATTACTGCTAATCTGTTTTTGATATGTGAAGAATTTAGTTTTTTTGCTTTTTTTACCGTATGTGTAAGAAAATATTTGTAAATAATATTCATCTTTTAATGTAATCGTAAATCATGTGAAAATCAACAAAGAAAATACATGGTTCAACTGCTTTGTGGTTCTATCGGAGACTGAAATCTACTGTTGGTAATGTTGTGCTGAAAAACGTTTTTCCTTTATTTGTGGAATCATTTCCCCTCTGATGTAGTACAGTATGAATGACATCACTGTAGGTTTCTAGAATTGTAATCTTACATCATTAAACGACGTCACAAAGTCTGGGCCTCACCTGTTTTCAGTTTAAGCGTCGAAGTCGATTCGAGAATTTACTGCATGAAAACCGTGCAAAATGAGAAACAGTGTTTTTTATTCTTTATCAGCACATGTGGAGCAGCGTGTCTTCCTGCTTCTGGACACTACTGTTCCACAGCAGGCATGTGTTGTCTCAGAGATATAAAACTGAACACACAAAAAGCGCAGACAAAACCTGAGCAATGATGGGATACATGAAGTTAAACTGAGAAAAATCTGCTCTGATTTTGAATCCCTGTAAGTGGAAATGCAACCAAAGCTCAGTGTTGTGTGTTTTTGACACAGTTTGAGACACATGGTTGACACTTTTTGAGCATATTTATATAAATAGGTATATATATATTTATATATATATATATATATATATATATATGGTTGTAACTAAATGAGTAATATGATGTGTTTATGATGTGATGTGTTTATTTTGAAGTGGTCAGCTGTTAAATATGTGTTTTACTTTGAAAGAGACTTGTTGATTCTGCTGTGTGTGTGTTTGTTTGTTTGTTTTGATGCAGCAGAGCAGTGAACCTCTTCCTAATTTTACCAGAGCATAGATGTGGTCACAGGTGCAGTATTTTGGCTCACTGATGTGTTTCTAATATCTTTTGAACAGAAATGGCTCCGGACAGGAATCTAAACCAGGCCTTGTGTGAACAAAGTTAATTTTGTTGTCATTGTTGATTTTCATCCCATTTTTTCCATCTCTTTGTCAGAGACACTACTACAGAGGCTCGCGTCTGTCACAATGTGTGGACAAAGGTAAATGCTAATGAACTAATAAACAACGACTGCTGATATCCTGGACGGCTGCACAATACACGGTGCTAAAATTTAAAATCTACCCTTCGCTTCATATGTATAATTCCCCGGTGCCTCAGTTCACAGTCTTCTCAGCCTTTAACATATTTGCTGCATTAATTATACATTCTCCATAATAGGTTTTTGTCAATGAATTTCCATCATCTTGGTATCTGGACTACCATTATTGACCAAATGACTGACACAGTGAAAATGTGAAGTTAATGCATCTTTATTTCATGCCTCTACTTTTCATAAGAAAGGAACGTTGATTTTCATCTCCCTTTTATAGTAAAACACCTTCCTTCTACGGTTCGTCCTGTTTTTCTCATAGCTTCACACAGATTATCCTCCAAATAATAAAATGAAATATCTACTCTTATGTACAAAGGTTGTCCACTATATTAGCTTGAGCTAAGTAACACCATTTAAATTTAAACAACTTGTTTGGTAATCTGGACACTTTGCAACCTTGGGGAGTGCTTGGGATATCACAGATTAGCTCAGCATCAAGACCACAGAGACTAATTTGTGCAAATATAAGTTTGCAACCTTGCTATTCACATTATAAATATTTACTTATTGTTTCGTGTATTTTACAGAGCCAGGATTTCATGAGGAACAGTTACTTACATCACAGCAGTCAAATGGAAATGATAAAGATCTTCATACCCTTGAATCGGCAGCTGTTATACCGACATCGTACTTTAGAAAATCCAAAGAATTTTGAAATGAGTGAGTCCATGACAACACAGCAGTGACTACAGAGTGATGTGAACCCAGCTGTGCGTGCACTGTGTTGGAGGGTTGTGCAGTTGGAGGTTGGTAAGAAGCAGCCAGGCGCCAGGACTGGGACGAGACGTGGATGTCTGGACGGTGGATCCTCAACGGTAGATCCTCTGTGCTCCATCGGTTCACTTTAGTTAATGCCAATATGTGAGAAGTTAAAGTAGGAAAGTTCTGAAGCTCTGCAACCCACAGAGAAAAGAAGAATTCAGTTATTTATAATAAGTGTTTTAAAAAAGAAACTTTTATTTAAAGTTAACAACAAATGTGAGGCACAAAAATGCAAATATTTTACCACAAGACACTTTGAAATCTGACCAAATATCAGCCCAAAGATGTATAGATATCTAGCGTGCAAAATTAGAAAATACAATGTAGAGCTGGTGTGTAATAACAGGCAAAGGGTGGCTTTGTACTAGCTGAATGAAACGACACATTAGCCTAGCATTAGCTAGGATTAAATTAAAAGATGACCCACATCCTGTGTGTGATGACCGCTCACCTCTTCACAGCCTGCAGCTGTTTAGAAAAGACCACAATCCTTAAGGTTTTCTTTGATGATGATGTCTGTGACCGCATTGAACACAATCTCCACGTTTTTTGTGTCAGTGGCACAGGTCAAGTGACAGTAGATTTCTTTCACGCCCTTCTTCATGTTCAGTTCCAAGAACTGAGTCTTGATGTAGCCGCTGGCATCATCGTACGTGTTTGGGCCTAAAAATGAACAAGACTGTGATGTGAAGAAACACAGGAACTAGTATTCATCCAGTGGTGCAGTATTCTCTATTTCTCTATTTTTTATGGAATTATATATCTATATATATGTATATGTCAGGCATCTGCTCCTACCATCGTAGTCTGGGAAGCAGATGCTCAGGTGGACCTTCTTGATCTTCTCCTCAAACAGATCTTTCTTATTGAGGAAAAGCACGATGGAGGTCAGGGCAAAGAATCTGTGGTTGCAGATGCTGTTGAATAGATGGAGGGACTCGTGCATGCGGTTCTGAAAGGTCATGGAGGAACAGGGTGACCTTCAAACTTCAAACAGTCATTATCCAATATTTCCTGATCCAGTTGTTTGATCTGGACTCACCACTTCGTCGTCCTCTACAAGCACCATGTCGTATGCACTGAGCGCTCCACAGAAAATGATGCAGGTCACACCCTCGAAACAATGGATCCACTTCTTTCTCTCTGACCTCTGACCTCCCACATCAAACATTCTGTCGACCACACAAGGCAGAGGATGATAATGACTCTAATGGACGTCGACACATCCTCTGGTGTCTACCTGCTGCCAGGCGGCGTCCGTTACATACCTGAAGTGCAACTCTTTGCAGGAGAACTGTTCTTCGATGATACCAGTTGTCTTGACTCGAGATCGCAGCACGTCCTGCTCAGTGGGGAGGTAGTCTGATTTGCAGATTCGGTCCAGTTCATTGAGGTAGCTGGAGATGGCGTGAAAACACGGTTAAATGAAAACCAGCTTTATGTGCAGCTGATTTATTGATTTGACCTCCAGCCCGAGCATTTCACCAGCTGCAGCTTGACACAGGTACTCACTATCCAGCAGAGTCGTTGAGCTGATACTCAGCAGCCCTCTCGAAGGCCGCCTCCACACCGGAGTCTTTCCAGAGCTTCTGGATAACATCAGCCAGCTCAGCCGGCATGGTGCCCTCCTCAATGGAATCTGACAAGTTCTGCAGCTTCTGTGCATCTTCCTGTATTAAAAAGCATGGATTAACACACAACAATTAACTGGTCAAAATACAAGTACACAACATTGGCTAAAAGTTAACAACAATTACATCCAAACACCAAAATGTTAAAAAAGAGCTTCGTTAAGCACAAAAGAAATGGAAAGTTGACTAGTTAAAAGCTAAAGCCAAAAGGTACATTTTCTAATTTTGTACTGAATTTAAATAAATTATCCATGTATCAAATTTTAAAAAAATATATGCTAAAACTAAACATAATGATTCTTATAATGTGAAATGATAACTAGCCTAACGTGGTCCAAAAATGACTCACAATATGATCGACGTCCTTTATTCTAATGTGTGTTGATCACTCACCTGTCCAGAGGAGGAGCCAAAGCCAATGCTCAGCATCTCCATGCCCCTGATGATGGCCAGAGCAGACTGCAGGATGTTTCCGTAGATGATGGCCCTGAACTCCAGCTGTTCTTCTTTTGTGTAACCACCTTGATGCAGAATCCTGTGCACGGGTAAAGAAGCAGACGGAGACACGTTTCAAGAGCGAAAGAAAACGTCCTCATTACTTACGTGAAATAATTACTTCACTGGGACAAATATTCTCACAGTGCCACCAAGTGGTGAGACTGAGCTGCTGCAGTATGTCTTAATACAGATTCAAACATTTTACTGTCGAAAAGACACAAACCTATCAGAGGAGGATCTCTGTCCAACCAATCAGAGTTAGGTGTTTTAGGGCTGGTCTGATTTCTTAGCACTAACAATGTAGTGTAGATGTGAAACAACAGATAGTTTCACCTTAACATCTAAAACTTACTTCATTTGTTTTACGATGGTGCTCTTTCCTGACTCACCAGCACCTGGAAGAGAATTCAAAGGTTATTTCTGCTGTTTCCTGTACTGTAGATATGACCAGTCCTTCAAAGATACATTGGATTGTGGAAAATCTTGCTTTTTCAATATGCATTTTTTAGATGTTGCCAATAACATATACTGTATACAATTTGGATTGTCAAAGGTTTACAATAGTGACAACACATCAGTAACAACGCAATGAAAATGATTATTACTATTATCTTTGTTAGCTGTAGTAACACAGTAACTTTTATTTACACAATTATTGACTATAGTTATTTTTTACACTATTTTCAGAGTTAAAAAAAGAACAGAAATTGAACCTTTCAGCTTACGCCAGATGTACAGAATGATTATAGAGTCTTTAGCTGAAGGACTGAGGTTGAGGCTCAGTGTCACCACGAGGAGTAAAAAAGAGTTTGCATCTAACTCAAAATCTCCTCAGGAACTCAACCTGACGCAGTTGGTGACCATTTATAACATCATACAACACTGTCAGAGAGAACAACACCTGGTATGAACTGTTGTCAGTCATTAGAGAATTCAAAACCAGAACCAGATAGTCATTGTTAGAGTGTTAGTGTTAGTAGTAAAAGGAGGCTCTGTGTCAGTACTAATACTAGATGACGATTACTGCGTCTGTGTGTGTCTGTGATCCTCTCAGTGAGTCTTTACTCTAACATTAAATCTTGGCTTTAGAAACTCTATGTTTGACCTCTGACACACACTAAACATCCTGCTTACACTTTAGGTTTTATATCTTCTAGAGGCCAGTTTATAATTCAACAACATGTATATTAAATAAGTAGTATCACTACTGATATTTTACCTATTTGTACTTTATATAAGCATTAATATCTATGCACTACTACAAATATGTGGATTCTTTTTTTTTTTTATTTTTTTTTTTTACTTTTTATCCAAATAATTGACATGTTTTTTTATGCTCCAATTCTTTAGGCGCCAGTTTCAAAGCCGACAGCACTTTACCAAGTGGAACTGCTGTAAACCTGTTAACTAATTGGATTGAGATGCTGCTGCTGTACAGTGATTCATTTAGACCAAAGTCTATGATCTTTTAAGCACCAGTGTCCTTCCATTTGAGTGAAAAGTCACTCTCAGCGTCAGCACTGGTCAAGAACATTAGTGTTCTCTGGTTTACAACTACTGAAAAGATCCTTTCTCTGACTTTTACCATGAGAGATGTCAAATGCATGAGAGATGCATTTGACATAAAATGCATCAGAGTAAACATTAAATGAAACATAAACTTGTAGCTGGAAAGCTAAGATTTTCAGGTTCAAGTTTGAATCAACAGTTTTTAGTTTTTGCTGTGGAGAAAAAGAGGATTTCTGTTAGCTGTGGATTGTCATACATGTCTGAATAATTACATTTTTTCTCATTTCTCATTTCAATATTATATGAATTTTGTGGGGGTTTTCTTTCTTTTCCTGTGAGCTTTTAGTTTTTTTTTTGGATGCATATCCTCTCCCACCTGTATTTTTAATAAACTAATTAACTAAATCATCTGCACAGAAATCTAAATCCTTTAAGTCGTGTAGGGAATTATCCACAACAAATCATCGGCACAGAAATCTAAATCCTTTAAGTCGTATCTTAAACCTCACTCACAGAAGTGATGAAGTAAACCTGGAACATGTCATTTTAGAAAACATCACCAAAATATTGATTCTAGATTCTGAAAAATCTCTATTTTGTTTCTCATTCATCCATCAAGTGATGAGAACAAACATCAGGAATATGTTTTTTTTCTAACATCAGTTGAACCACCTGTCTTATCTGTTTGCAGACTTTGATTTGCTCTTGTTGTGCAGTCCTTACTTCAACATTCATATAATGTTATAGTTGCTGAGCTGTGAAAGGATCTGCATCAATGTAATGAATATAACGTTATCATAAACGTTGTGCTGTAACTACTCAGGATCCACTTACCAAGCAGTAATAGTTTGACCGTTTTAGAGTCCTTATCAGCATCTTCCTGGAGTTGCTTTTCCAATTCCTTGGACTTTTTGTCCTCTGCACTTGCTCCGGCACCCATTTCTGCCTCAGCAAAGTCTAGGTCCTCGATGATAGAAATTTTGAAGGCTGTCTGTGAGGAGTTACAGAGAATCTGGGTGCAGCACTAATCGTGCTGAAAGGCGATTTCCTAGCAGAAGTGGATTGGGGCAGGAGGAGGTGCTAGAAACCCTCTTGGTTTCCTTGGCCTCTTGTCAATGAGATGATCAGATCGGAACTTGTCAGAGATCAAATCAATTCTGCATTTCTACTGGGCTCAGTCCCAACCTTAAATCCTTTCTGCTTAAGCCCATGATCTAGGTGGTGCCTCTTCCTGATTGGCCGGTCAATCCGATTAGTCTAAAAAGGGCAATAGTGAATGAAGTAAAGAAGAGCCGTCTCACCGTCTTAGCTTCAGTGAGAGTCAATTTCAATCTAATGCAGTTTAATTTCTGCAGCTGCTGCTCCATGCATCTTAAAGACAGTCCTCAGATTGATGCAGTGGAATATATATTTGTGCATAAATGGTTTTAAAACATTTATGAAACTTATTTACCCTTATATTGAGTCCTCTACTCCCTAACAGTATGTCCTTGTGTACCTTTACGTGGTAAATACTTCAGGACATGGTCAATTAGAATAACTGGAGTAAAACATACGGCACACGGTGCCTTAAAGGTTATGATATTTTAATTTCTGTTTGTAGTCCGTGTGCAGGTGTTCCTTATGTTCTCCCCCTCTGCCTTGTCTTGTCTTGGGTGTAATCACATGGACAAAGCATGGAGGAAGGCATTAGGGTCTCATAAACTTCTTACTGTTAAGACGTTTTAATCCCGGGTGGTTTGGTGGCTGCTAAATAAGGCAACTGTCACTGCGTTGAGATGTTCTCTCAGTTCTCAACTAGAGATGACCCAAATGTTTTTCATTGATTACATCATTACCTCTGATTTGAAATGCAACGTATCCAACGTAGCTGATCCAACCTGACAAATATTCTGTGGCGGGAAGATCCTGTAAATACAGGTGAAAGAGCAGTTGATCTGCGTTTAAAGTCAGAGTCTGTCCAGAGGTCAGTGAAGCTGTTGTCTACAATTCTGCAGTCCATGCAGGAGACGTTAGCCCCCCGGCCCTAAGCTTTAAGGTTTCATTTAACCCTATTTTTATGACAGAATTGTCATCAACATGACTTTTTTTTGCCTTAATATGGGAATTATATTATACCCACTGGAATGTCAATGTCAGTGTTATCTTATACTAAAGGTTCAAACAGATCCCCAACATGGGGATCTCAGTACCATAGGAGGGCGCTAGAGATCACACTGCCCTCTAACTGAGATAGTAGAGGAAATGTTGCTTAATGTTAAGGTTTGGTTCTCAAGAAAATATAGCAGAAATAAAATTGTAAAATTATAAAAAGTTAGTGCAGTTTTTTGTTTTAGACCATTTTTGACAAACAGAAGAAAATAAAAATTACATTCACATTTTTTTGCGCTGAGTTATTAAAAATAAATTGATAACATTTAGTCATAAGAACAGATTTGTGGTGTATGTGTATATAACTAAAACTGCCATTTAAGTCACCTACTTTATGTTATCTGTACGTACCAGCACAAAAGTCGTATATGGGTTTAGCAGGACGCAATGCATCATGGGAGTTAAAAGTAGGAGCTCCAGTTTGAATAGCGAAAACTGCGGTAAGTAAAGCAACATTCTTCAGGTCCGTGTATAAACAGACCGTGGACAGCTGCAGAGGTCGGTGGTTAATAAAGACTTAGTGTGAGTGGGTAAAAAAACAAACTCAAAGCCGTGAGTGTAAATATACGAGTGTTTGAAATTTGGAACAATGTTCACGGCTAACCACTCCGTGTGGGCGTATTCTCCTGGATATTTAACTGCTTCTCATAATATATCGCCTTTGCTTTAGGGTTGGATTTGTTTGTTTCTTTGGTTATTTGCTCGCATTCAACGTATTACGTGTGTGTTACTTGTGCTAGACATTGTTTTGGTCCCACGTTGCTTTGCTTTTGTATGACGTATCCTGCCCTGTCGGTCACGTGGACATGGTGAGCTCTGTTTTCTGAGTTTCTCTTATCTGTCACTGTGTTCTGTTCTTTTTTTCATCTGTCTTCTCTGCTGCTATCATTCATGATGAAAATATATTTTATTTCTTCTTATCTTCAGCTTAGATTAGGATGTCAATTGCACAGAGACAGCTGCAACACACTGCTCTCTGCAGATAAACAATCCTCATTTCACAGGTAGATGTGACCCGTTGTTATTTGCTCCCCTACAAATGTGTGTAGTGATGGTGTTACTATGACTGTCCCTGTTTGTGTGTAGCAGTAGGAGGTACCAGGTGAAAAGAACTTGGGTGGTGCCATCACCCAGACAGTCTGAGAGCTGTAGTTTAGTGATGTCAGAGCCAAATAGGCTCAGCATGCAGGTGAGGGATTAGCAACTAGGTATCACTGAAAAAGAGAAACTGTAGCATCATGTATGAGTGAAGAACAAAACATGGTCAAAGAAATTATTGCTAATCCATCTTTTAAAAATGTACTCTGTTTTGTAGGTCAAAGCAGCTTATATTTTATTATATATATACTTATATATATAACAAAACAGAAAAACTTTTTTTTTCAAACTTCCATTTTGTCTGCGTCATGTCTGTGAGTCTCATTATTAAACTCGTGCAACTCCACGTTGAGAATCTGTGGTGCTTGGGGTCCAAATCCCTGATGGCGTCCAAGCAGGCTAAACAGAGTAGAACATTTAGTGATGTCAACCAATCCCATTAGGCGGTGAATGGCGTAGACCCACTCAGTGCTCAGTCCTTGTGTCGCTGATCTGTTGACAAGATTAACCACAGAGCCTCAGATCAACCCAACAGGCAGGCGCTTAACACGCCGTCTTTTGGGGGAAACAGCATGAAAGCATGAAAACACTCTTAGGACCTCACCTCTACTACAACATTTAAAAAGCTGCTTTGATATAATCACACCTACGTCTGCGTCAACATTTATGACAGTTGATCCCTGTGACACAGCTACTTTATCAACAATGTTTGTCATTTCTTTCACTGTTGCTTTACAAATAAATGTCGTCATGGCCTCATGCACAAAATAGAGCTGAATTTTTTATTTTACCTTTTCCAACGTTTCTGTTTACTGTAAGTAAATGTTTGATGTGTAATTTTCTTTAATCCTCTGCAGACTCGGATACAAGAGGTTCCCACCCTCTGATGAGCTCATGTGGTTTAGTCCAAAGCTTTTTACCAGTCTGCAAAAATAAGTGAGTCAACTCCCACAGATGACGCACGGGGAACCCTTGGTGACACCACAACTACACACCAGATGTCCTGATACCACTGGTACTGTAATAGTGTCACATCAAACAACCAGGAAGAAACACAGACTGATAGCATTAATCAGTTATAATCAATTTCAGTCAGAAGATTTGTGAAACATTAATCAGTTACAATCAATCAGTACAATCAATTTCAGTCAGAAGATTTGTGAATAAGAATTAGACAGAGAAAAGTAAAAACAAAGTTTTTGATCTAATGGCCAATTTTAGAACACAAATGCCACAAAACTTGTGTATATACACACATCTCATGTAAGTCGCCATTTGTGCACTTCTACTTAAGCACCACAAGAGGGTGGTAGAAGACCCGCACACTGTTGTATGCAGCGCTGCTGAAAACGTTACATGATTGATGTTCTGTCTTCAACAGCCAATAAATACAGATTTTAGTTTGCGAAAGAAGAGTTCAGGACAACTCTCTGTGTCTAAAGAAATAAAGTAATTAATATTTTTGCGAAATATTTGTGGAATCTCTATCATAAGTAAATAATAATAAAAAAAGATACACATTTGTTCCATAATTTTATAATTTTCTTTATCAGAATTGGATTGTAATAAGTGGCATGTTTAAATCAAATCGAATAATGCTATAGTGGAATGTATCTTGAAGTTTTCTTGTAATTAATAAAAAGTAATATTACTTATTATAATTATAAATAACAGGGCATCTATTAGGATGGGTTAGGGTTGCAGCATTAGGTTGGTCATGAGGTGGTGTTGAAAGTTTTGCAGTGATAAAGAAAACAAAGGTGGATGAGTTGAAGTTTGGTGTTAATATGACAGAATATTTGCCTCAAAAATGAGACAGAACACAGACAGGGTAGAAGAGTGTGAGGGTTGATGTGTGATGGTTTGGAGAAGATAACGCTCATGTTATCATTGTTACTGTTTTTATTTTGCAGTGTAACTTTTCTTTTCACACATCTCCACACAGATTTGTAGTTGTCATAGCAACATCTGATCTGTGTGCTGACTGTTTTTTTTTGTACGTGTGTCTGTGTGTATAGGAGGAAAAGAACTGAGCATCTCCTCCTCCTTTCTTCTTCCTCCTCCTCCATCGTTACTGCAGCTCATGCACTGGTGACTGTTGGAGGGGGCGGGGCTTGTTTCGCTGCAGAGGGATGCTCTGCAGCCTCACGCTGGAGAAAACAGTCTGGAAATCCCTGCACACAAACACGCATATTCACACTGACTGCAGTCAAAGCCCTTCTAGCTCCAAGCATCTGTGTCACATCCTTCCTCCTCCCTCCTCTCCGCTGCCTCCTCTCTCTTTTCCTCTTCTTCTCCAGCGCTCTGTTCTGACTCAGCTCTCCTTTTGACCATCCAAGCCGACCTGAACTAAAGAACCTGGAAACATGTCCTCCAGCCTGCCCTCTGGGACCACAGCTGGGGCCAGTGGGGCCAAAAAGCCCTTCTCCCCCTTCCGGAAGCGAGGCAGCCTGCAGTACACCGCAAGCACCACAGGTTAGTAGGACGAGGTCGGGGGATTCACAGCAAAGGTGACATGAAGGAAAAAAGGTTGTAGACTAGAGCTACGAACTGATCAAAGGTGTCGTCATGCATTCAGTAGAGGAAATGATATGAAGGTCAGATCCAGACTTTATTCCTCACTGCTTTGAAGAAGTGAGAACCTGTTGATTATGAATGTTCAGTGAGGGGAACTCTCTGGGAATGATTCCATACATTTATTTTATTTTTTGTCCAATATTTTAGAACCTGCTACTAACCTCAAATGCAACTGTTTTCTGCTTAAAGACCGATTCATTGCTTTTTAAAAAATACATTTCTGAACATATTATTTTCATTTTATAAGTTGCTGTATTTCCTGGAGCCAACGTGTGTGTAGATATGACACTTGATTCACTGTGAAATGATTGGATAAGCAGGTCTCACCTGACCTGGATAAAAACATTTCTTTATTTTTATCCCTTTATTTTAAAATGAGTGAACATCAGAAAAAAACAGTAAAAGTCTTAGGTGTTTGTAAGGCAGATATTTGCAGTGTTGTATAATTTTTATTTAGTTTTGCACATTATTTCATTATTTCAAATTGCATTAACTGAAATAATTGCAGAATATTTCATGTAAATTGCATTAACTGAAATAATTGCAGAACTAGTCCTGATTTAAATTTTCAAATGTAGCATCATTATAACTATAGTGTGTCAAAATCCTCTCTATTCGAACTGTCTTCATCTAAAATTTCTTAAATTACTTTTATGTATACTATTGTATATACTGTATATGTCTTTGCCCTGATGTACACTTCCTTCTGTGGTACAGTGAACTCCCACAGTATTGTGACTTTGACAGCCCAGTGTTAGCTCCCACACCGATGCTTGAACACACTAATCATCCTTTCATCACAGCCAGTCTGACGGTCCTCTGACCAGGTGCCGAAAAAGACCTTTACTCTGTTCATTTCCTCTCATCTCTGGAGCAGTTGTTAAGGACATTCATTATACAAAAGGCTGCTGTCATTGTGCACCGTGGGTTTTTTTTTTTTTTTAAATACATCACAGCTTTAATTTGACACGTCTGTTCTTCAAAATAATGTTTTTCATTCATTAAAGGAATTACTTTTTATTTAACCACAGCCTTCATTTTCCTGTCAGGAGGTTCGAGGTTCACATGAAGGATTGTAGTAATATCTACTGCAGGAACATGACATTATCCAGTATTATTTTTTAATATCTCCACCTATTAAAAAGATACAAGTAAATATTAGATATTTGTGCTGCACACACATCGGCCATGTATTATGTGAAGTACTGCGTACAAATGCCCCACGGCTGTTGTTATCAACCAGTAAACATCAGATGTTAAAGTACGGTAATTCAGTGACTGCAGGGATTGACAGAATTTATACTTAGAAACAGCTGAGAGGCTGGAACATTCTCTGCCCCTTCCTCCAGTGTGTGTGTGTGTGTGTGTGTGTGTACCTTCATACACAGCTCCTAGATGACAGTAGTTATTTCTGAAATTGCTCTGCAGCCTCACAGCCATATGAAAGGCGTAGTAAGGCTTTGCAGACGGTGTTTGTCAGTGACTTTGCAGCGCTTCACAGACGATTATATAAATTCACAGTTGTCATTGTTTGTTTCGTCAAGTTCTTCTGGGAACAATGTGTGGAAGCCAAATTTACAAACCCTGGTTGTAAATGCACACACAGAATATTGTTTGTGCAAGGTGACCAGTTACCTTTGTGATGAAGGATCATTTCAAACCAACTCATTGAACAATCAGTTATTTCTAAATAATTATCAGTTTTGTTCATTTTGTATTTTCAAATGCATGATGTTGCTGCTTTCCCAGCCTGTGCTGCTTCCTATAATAGCATCACATTAGTCTGTTTAACCATCTCCTAAATTGGCGCTCAGCATGTTGGAGGATTGGTTATCGATTCCTGAGGAAAAGAAGAAGAAAACGTTGAACTACATGGGTTAATTGCATCATTTAGCAGCATGTGGAGTATAGAATGTGTTCAGTCACTGCAGCTGTGTCTCATCAACCACAAATGAGTTTCACAACTTTGCATTTTGACCACACGTTTGTAGTATTCTGTCGAACCGCTGCTGTTACTCTGGGGTCATTAAGAGCTGAGGAGCAGCCTCGTCTACATTTAGCACATTTTCACAGCAAGTGTGGAGTGAATTTGACAGCAAACAGCCGTGGGTGCATCACTCCTGCGTCTGTGATGTTAAAGCACCGCCCACTCACCACTCAGTCTGGTCTGTGTGCTCGGCTGTTGTTTGTTTTTGATCACACCTAAACAGGGTTAAATCCAGAGAAGTACCGGTGTCTTGATGTAAATGTTTGGATTTGTGGCGTCGACTTAGTTACATTAAGTGGCATAAACACAGAATCTAACTGAAATTTTCATTGTATGTTCAAAAAAGGTCCATCTAAAGAAACTTTTCTCAAAGGCAAATTGTGTATTCATTGGGCCTTGAAGTGTTTTCATTCATCTACGTACAGTAAATATAAACGAAGCTCATTTACTAATCATTCATTCAGTCATTGTAGACCTTTGGCCACAGTGTAGTTGCCATGACGTGGGTGTTTAAATGCACTCACATGCTGTTGATGTCTCCTGTGTTTGTGTCACAGATCGTCATCCAAACAGGCCCACGGAATGTCAGCAAACATAAGTGACAGAAAAACCTTAAGAGTGATAGTAATTAGTCATCAGCTGTGACTGAAACACACTTTCCCCTGATCACCTGCTGTCCACAGTGACTCAGTGTGTCTCTGTCCCCTGTGTGGACAGACAGTACAGTATGATTAGTGTGTTAAAGGGGACATGGAGTGGGATCTCCTCTCTGTTCTATTGTCGTATTGTGGGGACGCTGCGTTATTGTTAGCTTATTTTTTGGATTTTTATAAATGTTAGGTCATTTTTGTAGTTCTAGTATTTAGTATTATTTTGTATTTCTTGCTACTTCTATTTTGATTATGTTTTGGCTACTCTTTCGGTAATTCTTCAATATTTCTGAGCAAAATGTTACTTATCTTGGTAATTTTTTGCATATATTTTTTATTACCGCCAGGGATTTGTTTTGTTTGTCATGGTTCTGCATTGACGTTATGTTGAACTTGTGTGATGCCACATTATACCCATAGAGGGAGCCATAGTCTACATTAATTCAAGCTTAGTCACGAACTAGTGAAGAACAACTTTTACAATAATGGTCCACACGGGACCAGAAATATTAAAAATGCAGCTGAAATGATTAAAAATTAAGGAAACCTTTGTCTTGTTTTAGGTCAGTCGGTAAAAAGTCAAAAATCCAAAAATGAACACGTGAAACCTTCCGTTGTAAAATTCTCATATCACATTTTCCAGTTTTAAATTATAAGCATAGCACATTTTCAAGATTTGCAGTTTCAGCACTTCTATCAGTCAGTTCGTGAAATTCTAGCAACCTGAGTCCATTTCCATTCACTGCTGAGGGACAATAACAGAGATATGGCTGCATACTGTAGATTAGACGGAGTGAGGGAACGTTGTGATTTCTGTCACAATGTTGCATCATTTTACTGGGGTATTTACACACACACACACACAGTCTCACACAGATCTTTTTACATTTTGTATGCATACATAGATATACTGCATTTCATGACTTCTTATCCTAGCCCTGTCTCAGATACAGTATATGCCTAATCTTAATCCTTACCCTACTTGTAATCTGAGTATTTTCCTAATTTTTACTCTAATCCAAATCTTCTCAGTGGAGACTTGCAAAATGTACCTACAAAAATGTCAAAAAAAAAAACTGTTGAGGAATTGTCTGCTGCCTTCATAATGGAGACCTTGTGCTGTCCCTTTAATTTCATTCATGTGAGACGAGATGGAAGCGTAGTCTCATTTATTAGACAGACATCTCCCTTAGACAAGCACCATTCAGCAGGCAGAGAGAAAGACCAGCCAGCGTCTTCGGCCCGAGCGCTGAGACAGCACCATTTCATTCACACACCAAAACATATGCCACAAACATCTTGAGCACATGGTTCCCACTGCAAAACACGGCACGGCTGGTGAGTGCATCCCAGATGGGGAGGGGGGTCATCATAGGGAACCGGCAGCGGGAGGATGCACATCAGCGGCTGACTCCCCTGCCTCCTCCTCCTGCTGTGGTACAGTCCAGATAGATGTCAGAGGCATTTAAATGAGAAGGATCAGCTCCAGGGGCTGCTGTAGTGCAGAGACAGCTGTCCTGAAGCAGGAGGCAGACACAGCAGAGGGGGTGGGCGACACTCACTGGGATGTAAGGGGGGAGTACATGGATCTGCTGGACCATCTCTGTGTATGTATGACAGGGACAGACTCTGACAGGATCAGACTGTGTGACTGTGAGTGTGCGGTAGAAGTGAGAGTGTTTGTGTTTGTTGTTTATTCTGGAAGTATTTCTTCTTCTGTTGTCTCCATCCTCCTCTGTCATATTATTTAACTCATCTTTAAAGGACAGCACACGTCATCCTGGGCGCTTCGCTGGTTTGGCGTGTTCCATCTCCTCACTAGGACCTCCTTCTATACTCCCCCCCTCCTCCTTTTTTCCTCCACTAGCTGCTGGTTAAGCTGAGCTTTGAGTAGCATCCCTAAAAACACACAAACAATCCTCAGCCTTTAACCCTTCCCTGTGTTCCCATTGTTCCTCACATTTACTCGCTCGTGCCTTTCTCTCTGCTGGTCTTTGTGAGGCAGCGCGTTGCAGTGCTGCCGAGAAGAACGTGTGCTGATTGATTGTCCCCACAAAACCAGCTTTAAAGGGGTGTTTTTAAAGGAGAGTGTAAAGGTGCAACTGTGCACAAAGAAGCCCAGCAGATCGATCAAACTTGTGCTGACTGCACCGGCATTTTTTTGATTTTTTTTTTTTAAAGCTGCAAAACATGTAACACACACTTTAAGAGTTTCTGCTCACTGTGATGCAGCAGACAAGAGTGAGAGAGTGTAAAAATGGAAAATAGTTTTCTCTGAAAGAGCAGCTCGTGCCTGCAGTCATGTTGTTACTGCAGCTGCAGAGACAGGACCAAAGACCTGAGGGCACGTCTTGAGTGAGTTTAGCTGTTTGATTGAGAGCCAGGTTGAGATGCTGAAGCAGGAAGCTTCCTTCAGGGGAGCAGAGCAATTTTGATGTGACATTGTATTTGAATTTGACTTGAAGTGGCAGCTGTGCGTGCGCGTGCAACTCTACTGTAAAGGTAGGAGAGATTTTTTCAGATTTCATACTGCTTACTTCAGAGACAGGGAGTGTGTGCAGTTGCACAGTGGTTAGTGCTCTTGCCTTACAGTAAGTACATTATCATAGTTTGCATATTCTCCCTGTGTATTGATGGGGGTTTTCCAGCTACTGTAGCTTATTCCCAGTCTAAAAACATAGAGAATCATGTGGATCGTTCTGTCTAAATTGACCCCAGGTGTACGGTACACATGCCTGTAAATTGTTTCAATGACTGTCCATGTGACCCGCTGAAAGACTGGAGATCTGTCCAGTCTGACTGCGGAGATCGGCCCCATGAAGAGGACCCAGCTGCAGGAGATGAATCAAGGTATAACTCAAAAACTGCTTATTTGTTCAGGTCAAACTTCTATTCTCGTGACAAACTGGGGTATTCAGCGCTGAACTGTCTCTAGAGCACCAGAGCAGTATTGAAAAGTGTCACACTGGGATTCAGTTAGATTTATGAATGTCTGACCTCATTCTGTGTCGACATGGTTTGGCTGTGAGGTTTTTTTGAGAAGTGAAATCTTGGATGCAATTTTTATGGTTGGCGTTGCTGGTTCCTCTTCTTCTCTTACAGGGGGTGCTATAAGCACAATTTTATTTTCTGTTCCATCCGTAGTCAGGCTGCTGTGAGACAGGACTGTGAGCTGATCCACTGGATACATTATCAACTGTGTACTGTTCAACATTTCCACATGAGAAAATTCCCGACAGCTTGCAAAATCAGGGAGAAAAGGAAAAATACAGACAGACGGCAAACAGTCTAACGTTTTATTTATTTGTTAGTGGCAGCTACAGTGTCAGGACAGAAGGTTCTGGGTTTAGTAGCCCACAGTCCCCAAATGTCAGGATGGGTTTCAACAAAATGATGTAATACATTTAAAGGCTGAAAATGTTTTTCTATGTTTTCACAATAGACATAAATAAAAAAATAATAGTGTGGTTTTTAAATCATTGAAACTACCAAAGACTACAGATACTTTGTAGTAATGCTAATATGAGATCATAGATTTTTGCCATATTTTTGCAGGCTGCGTACAATTATTGAGTATTGTAATGGCAGACAGAACATCTTTAATGATGCATTAACCACTGGTTTTCATGGGAGAGATGGATTTGAATCTTTTTGAGTGTAATCTCCTAGAGGTATTTTTGGTGACATTATTGTTTGTGCAGGAATTTTGACATCAGTGATTTTTTTGGGTAATAGATGAAGAAATATGTGTACGTAAATATGTCACAACAGTGTTTATTGTCCTCTGGTCCCTGGACTTCCATGGCTCTCCTCTTCTCATCTCAGCTCAGGGGACATTTTCACTCCGGACTGTCTGGAGTGAGGTCTCTTCTCCTCCCCCTCATGGTGTATTGCTGTTGAAATATTCATGCAGTGGAAGTCCCATGGCAAACTGATACTTTTTGACCCGGTTTTGATGGCGGTGCCAGATTGTGTGTCGATCTGCTCCCACTTTAACATGCTGGTGCAGCACATATCTAGTAGAGCGTAAAAAAAAAGCCCTTTTCATACATTGTAACCTGTGGTAATGTTGCTGAGCCGCTGTTGCTGGGTCAATTAAAGCTTCAGGCAACTGGATTATGTTTAAAAAAATAGACTTTTATATCTGAGTGGTGAGCTCTGTAAATGCAGGGAGATGAGCTGTTGTGTAACCATACACGTCACAGATACAGCATCCATTAGGGGATTAGCAGCAGGTCCAGTGAACCGGTCTGGACTGACTGTGGACCAGGATCATCTCTTTGCTGTCGGCTACTTCTTGCCCTTCACACTCGTGTCTACTGTCATCACCACACATTGATGTGGCCTAATGAGACACTGCAGAGATAAAATTACACACCTGCTCCTGCAATCTGCAGAGGAGAGATTATTCTATCTGAAAGGAAAAAATGTCATCATAGTAATATATATTCTTTTAATTAGAAATTACCCAATAGTTTGGAAGCAATGATTTCTTTTACTTGGTATTAAGGGCCATACAGTGTGTTTTATGATTTCAGAAAATGGTTGCAATATTATTGTTTTATGTAAATCATGTCCTGGAATGACGTCAGTGGTGTTTCACAAAGTAAGTAGTAGAAGAAAGTGAATAAGTAGTAGTACAGCTCCTTGATTGGTGCAACATTTTTATTTATTTTTTGTATGGAAACCAGCATGACAAATTTAAAACATTGACAACAAAATGTCTATATAATAAAATGTTAAAGTGGTATACATGGGTAAATCTAAAAAGTTCTATGACAGGTGTCTTGTTTTGACAACTAGAAAACCTCAGTATGGAGGATCTTCAAATGATGTCATTGTATTATATTGGTGTCAAATATTGAGATGTGATGCTTCCTATTTGATCTGGTGTGTTTTTATGTAGCAGTCTTATGGGGCAGGCAGACCTGTCCTCTGTCGCAGCACATTACAGGAGCTCACAGGTTGACTGTCAGGCTGCAGGTGTCATACAGTACACCCCTCTTCACCTTGTGTGTCTGCTCTATTAATACTGATGGAGACACCAGTTCCATGACACTCAAGCTCACTGAGGATGAAATATTTAGCAGGAGCATTAATAATTTAGCAGCAGGATCGTAGAAGAATATTATTGCAGACAGATACTAAATATTCGGTATGAAAAAATATTGTGTGTGTTTAATCAACCTCATCACAATCCCAGTGAAACACTGTTTCCTGTTTCTAGCCTTTCTCTGATGGAAGTGTTTTTATAGAACAGACTCTCTGTTGGCTTCGTCACCTGACTGGTCACTGGTCACTCATAGGTCGAACAGATGTGGAAAACTGGACTCAAACTTCTTCCTTCTCTTTATTTCTAGTTGATCTCCGTGGTGCCCGCCATCTGCTAACTACCCAGCATTCCTTGCCTGGGATCCCAGTGGCCCTAAAACAGTCCATAGATCTGCGCACATCCATGGATGGAAAGTACAAGGAGATTGCTGAGGTTGACACTTCAGTACTAAAACGACCAAAACAAAATATTTATAAATTCAACATTTTTCAGTTTTGCGCTCTCTAATTATCTCATATTGACTTAGTTCAGATCTACTTGTGGCCTCTCAGTATTTTTGGTAACTGTGTGTGTCTCTGTAAAGGAGCTGTTCTCCCGCAGTCTGGCAGAGAGTGAAATGCGCAGCGCCCCCTATGAATTCCCAGAGGACAGTCCAATTGAACAGCTGGAGGAGAGACGTCTTCGTCTGGAGAGACAGATCAGCCAGGATGTCAAGTGAGTGATTTCATCAAACACTGTGGTTTTGTTCAGACGTTGTCCTGATTGAACTAAAGTCATTTTTGTCTTCAGGTTCGAGCCGGACATCCTCATACGAGCCAAACAGGAGTTTATGAAGACTGACAGTGCCAGCGATCTGGAGTGAGTTTTTACTTAAATAAAAAAGAAAAAGAAAAATGACTCCTGACTGGTGTTCAGAAAAAATATATGTGAAATATATCATGTGAAAAATATATATAGCTGGCCAACATACACCATCATTTATTAAAATCAGTTTTGCTATTTGGCGTTTATGTGTCTATTTAAATATGGAACAGATGAATGATTTATTTTAATTTATATCTATATACAGTATATGTATATCTATATATATATATAAATATACACAGTGTACATATGTGTGTATATTTACAGTATGTGTGTATTTGTAATATACGATATGAGATATGAGATTATAAAAACTATAATTTATTACTGATTCATGTCTAAAATTGGGTCACAGTGGTTTGTTAAAAATGAGTTATAAAAAGTTTTCCTTTGAGAAAGTAAATCTGCGTCAGAACAGATCATGACCAAATGTTGAACGATAAACACAAAGATGTTTTGTTTTTTTAAATATGAAACACATCTCTCTTAGGTTACATTTGTTCAATTTAATTTTATAGTCAAATCATTGACAATATTTACAAAATCTTTATCTTTTGTCAAGGGTTCTAACTTGTTTCTGCATGTAATATTTGTGTGCATCTAGGTTATTAAAGGAGCAGAGTCAGTTCTCTGACCTGCAGGAGCATGAAGTGGTCCCAGAGAGAGAGTATCAGAGAGTCACTATTTCAGGAGAGGAGAAATGTGGGGTAAGTCAGACACGTTGAGTCACTTTTCAATGTCCTGTTGTTTGTTTGTTGAGTTTTTTTTTTTTTTTTTTTTTTACCCGTCTGTGCTCCTGTTGTTTTCCCATCAAGGTTCCCTTCATAGATCTGCTGGATGCTGCCAAATGTGTGGTGAAGGCTCTGTTCATTAGGCAGAAGTACATGAGTCTGTCGCTGCAGACCTTCTACAGGACCACTGCCCGCTACCTGCAGGATCTGAGCGAAAGACCTCTAGACCTGGACATTTATGAGGAGCAGATCTCAGAGAACACACTCACACCAGGTAATACACTGAAAAGGGAGATTCAACTTAGTGACGTTGTTTAAAAAGGTGAATCATTTTACTTTATAGACCCACTTTGGTGACAGTGCATTTGTAAACCTCATATACTCAACACCTGCAATATTGTGATTGAAGTTTGACTCTATTCCAATTTAATAAGTAATATTTTATTTTATCATTTTTAAAGAAACTCAAATACAATTTTTAAATCTAAAATGAGAAGTGTTTGACAAAATAGAAGAATCCTTTGAGGTAGAAATATTTCCATGTAAGGACAGTACATCAGAATCTTCCACATCCAACCTTACTGTAAATTTTATGTTTTGATCCCTTCTCCTACCATTCCTCTCCAAGCATTTGATTTACTATTAAAAGTTACCATTAAAACACAAATTATATATTTAGTCCACTGCAAAAACATCCAACGTGGCCACCTCCATACCAAAAGGGGAAATAAAAACATATTTGTATGTATTTTTCCGAGATATAAACATAACTACACCATCAGCATAAATGAAAATGAAATACACATTTCAATCCCCAAATTTGGTAATTATATGTAAAATATTGCCAGGTTACCAAGTCATATCCAGTGTCATGTGATTCACTCTCTTACCAAGAGATTCAGTGATTTCACAATCCATCTGCGATTCCACCCGTGAACCTGCTGTCACCGTGTATAGGCTTTTAAAACCAGACTGTCCTCGAATTAACGTTCTCCACCTCCTTCAAAGCTGTGACACAGCGTGATTTTTTTTGTCTCCACGCAGAGGCCACGGTGCACCCACCTGTCTCTGAAACGCACCCCTACGAGAACCACGATCCTTCCAGCATGCCCCCCGACATAGGCTATGGCTGCAGGATGGTGGAGGGTGTCATGCACGTGTACACCACAAGGAGAACAATGGAAAAGTGAGACGTCCACGTTTTCACAAGTTTTAATATGATGTCAGCAGGAGAGTTTTTTATTTGTAATGTTGTTAACAGAAGCTCAGAGTTGGACCTGCCGTACCCAAACCTGCAGGAGTACATTGCTGATATGAACGTGATGATGGCCCTCATTATCAACGGCCCAGTGTGAGTTTGAATACACACCTGACATATTACAGTTAACCTGCAGATTGTGAATAATGGGGACTGGTATTTTTTTGGTAAATTTTCCGGAGATTTTCTGAGGATCTTATTGTTATAGGATTTTATTGTGATCAAAGGTTGGCGTACCAAAAAAGTATATTTTTTTCTGAATTTTAACAACAAAAATGGATATAGCTAAGTATTTTAAAGCAAATGAGTGCATTTTTAGTCATTTTTGAATTTTTTTTTTCTCGGAAATGTTTTCAGGATCTTATTGGTATAGTATTTTACTGTGATCAAAGGTTGGCGTACCAAAAAAGTTTATTTTTTCTGAATTTTAACAACAAAAATGGATATAGCTAAGTATTTTAAGGCAAATGAGTGCATTTTTAGTCATTTTTGAAAAAAAAAATTTCAGAGATTTGTTCATGACCTTATTGGTATAGTATTTTACTGTGATCAAAGGTTGGCGTACCAAAAAAGTTTACTTTATCTGAATTTTAACCACAAAATTGGACA